TATATATATATATATATATATATATATATATATATATATATATATATATAAATATTGTCAAATAGAATAAATACTTTAAGATTTAAATAGACTATCAAATTATATCCTGTCGTTACTAACACAACGTTTATCTATTCATCTCTTCTCTATCAAAAATTTGAATTATCCCGCGCGAGTAATGGAGTAAAGCTGTTATTGAGTTGTCTTGTCATGGAATAAACGCGTCGAACGATTGGAGTACAGTTGTATTTGAGTATAGGTGTCTCTGCGTACAGCTGTAATTCGGGTGCCAGAAACTCCACTCAAATTTTTTTCATTCGAAAATACAAAATCTACAAAGTCATAAATATCCGAAATGAAAATTATTCGAAATTAACAATATTTAAAATTAATTATAGTCAAAAGAATAAAATGAAACAGACGAAAATTTATTAATGAAATCTAGTCGAAATAACACTCGTCAAAGAGCGATCTATACGAACGATAAATTGTTCGAAAGTTTATGGTAACTTACCATCTCGCAAATAGGTCCAATCAGATTCATTTAGAAGTAATTTTTTCATCATTTCTTTAGTCGTTATCTCCTTATCTAATAGAACACACTCAACAGCTTTACGCTGCTCAACTAGACGTTCGACCATATCATATGCCGAATTCCAACGTGTTGGAGAGTGGCTTATTAACCGGTGAGTTGGCAGATGATGTTTTTTTTGAGCGTTTTCCAAAGCTGTACTAGCTTTATTCGAGTGTTTGAAGTGACCAACTATGGCTGACACTCTTTGTAAACAATCTTTCAAATTACATTCTTTTAAAGCACACTGTAGAGTGTGGCAGAAACAGCGGACACTTATCTCGATATCATCATCAGCTTCCCAACTGTCTTGTACAGCAGCAACCATGTACCGCGCATTATCGTGTACGACTGCAATCACTTTGTCATAAAGATTCCAATCATTCAATGCTTTAGCCAGGTGGTTGTATGTATTTGTGGCATTATGACTTTCTAACATTTCTAATGTGTCTAAGGTAAAAGAGGACAAATTCCACTGATCATCAATACCATGGACAGTAATAGTTACAAATGAATTATTAGCGCGTGATGACCACCCATCAGTTGTTATGGACACATATGGGAATTGGTTTAAAGATGATAATAATTTATTTCTCACAGCATCATATAATCCATATAGGCGATCTCTGATTACTGTTCTAGACGGTACCGTATAATCGGGACAAACAGTTTGGAGAAATTGTAGAAGTCCGGGACCTTCTACAAATGATAATGGTAGCATATCCTCTGCAATCATTTTCACCAGGGATATTGTTATTGTTTCTGATTTAGGATTCTAGAAAATAAAATTTATTAGCATATGTTACTATTCTAAATCCTGATTAAGAAAAGCAATTTAAAATGATTCAATCGATGTAAAGTGTGTATCTCTATCTACGTAGAAGCCAAATCAGGCCATTTAAAATTATTTTTCTTAATTAAAGAATATATGAATCTAAATACAAATTTATTGTATGCAATATTTGATCAATTTTTCAATAAATTTACTTACATTACGACTATAATATTCTTTTCTAGGTATAGATAGTCTAGGTCGTTTATTTGAATTTTCTTGCGTACTTGGGTCGTTTTCCGCTTCGGATCTATTATATGCGAAAATTATGTAGTAATTAATTTGTTAGAAATGCTGATAAAAATGCTTTTTTATTTTTAATAAGTCATAACTAAATAATTAATGACACTGAAGTTGACAGACATTAGAAATTTTTTTAGAATTTTATAGCAATTAAATTATTATAAAAAAAAATTTAATTGAAAAGTTCCACGTGTGAACATTAATAAAAATTAAAAGTGAAAAATTTTAGAAGCATTTTTTCATTGTAATTGATTCGTTAAAAAAATTTTTTAAGTTGACAGCTGACGGCTAACTTCAGTATTATAACTATTATATTAAATATAGAAACGAAATCGAAATTTACTTACTGAGAATCAGAATCAATCTCGCCGATCAGAGTAGTGGGTTGACATTTTTCCGGGTGTTTATTTTTAATATGGTATCTTAATGATGACGTGGTTTTCTTCGTATTATACTGAATTTTGCAATATTAACATTGAGCTACTCCACTTGAAATACGTATATAATGATTCCACAGTGACGACATTTTTAAACAATTAACTTAATAATATTGTTGGTGAGGAATGTATGATCAAAAGCTTGATTCTATGTCATATATGTATATATGTATATTTATATATATATTTCAAAAATATGTACGAACAAATGATTTTAAAGAAAAAAACGCCATGGTACGCCTCTAAAGTCGATAAAACGTACTAAATGTTTTTTGAGCACCGCCATGTTGAGCACCGCTAAGACTAAGCCGCCAAATTCGAATAATTGAAATGAATTTCAGTCATATTAAAAAAAATACGTCTTTCAATACTTGAAAATATAAATATTTAATCAAATTTAAAATTAGCCGATTAGCCGGTTTAACCTTTAGCTAATTAGCCTAGCTAATTTCGGTTAACCGGCTAAGCCGAGCAGTCAGCCAGCTAATTAGCCAGGTTAACTTTTTTAACCGGTTTAACCGACTAAATTGTACAGCCCTAAAAAAAAATCAATAAATACCGAAAAATATTCAGTTTCAACTACTAGTAACTTTTGAATACAGCGTTGTCTTCATATGTAATAATATGATCATAACAAGTTGATGTAGAAAATTGAAATGGATCTGATCTTCATTCATGTTTTTTCGAAAAAACTTTTCCAAAGTATAGATCTAAAAAATACAAACAAAGACAAAAAAATGGATGTAATTTCTTAATTATTAAATAATAAATGGAACTCAACATACCGTCACTTAAGTTCATTCTTATCAACAATTATCCTGACTACAGCGTAAGCAAGTGCTGAATGAGACTTTTCCAATTGTTTGAACTCCTTAGTGTTCTTGAACTTGATCCAATTATGGGCAATGAAATTAGTTGCGACTTTTTCCAATCGTTTAGCATAGTAAAGATCCGCCAAAATTAAAATTCTAATAGCGTTTCCAGGAGTCAAAGTTCTGGACAAAGAACATTCGCACATACTTTTGAGTCCGTGAAGTTGATATTTGTCAGCCGCTTCCAGAAGTTCTTCTGAAAAATTCGTTAAGTCATCGACTTTATCTGTATAAATGTATTTGAGAACTTTTGTGAAAACTTCAGGAGTAATATCCGGTATAGTTACTTCATTTTCTTTATTCTCTTTCATATCGTGTGAGAACATAGCATCAAACACGCTGCTACGAGCAGTCAAAATAACTTATGAACATCGAACTTTTGATCCCCGACTTTGATAATAATATCACATTTCTTTTTAGTTTCAAAAAGATCTTCAAAGTCGTCGCTCAATTTTCGCTTAGAATCTTCCAATAAGTTATTTGGACTATTAGCAGTAACATAATCATCGTAGACAGTTAGATCTACACCAACTATCAATGTGTCGTTTTGAAAAAATCCGTTCTCTCTCTCTAATAATGTATCAATTTTAACAAAATTGGCAAAACCCCAACCAGAAAAAGATGAATTATCAAAAAGGTGATCAATCCATGGGCCTGATGATTCATTGAACACTGTACGATCATGTAAAATTTTTTTTCTTTCATTATTTAAAAAAAAGAATATGAACTTTGTTCGGGCTTTGAGATCTTTGATTATAGTACACAAATATATTGAGACCCATGATTTATTTTTTGATCCAACATTATCTTTTACAATTTTAAGTTGTAAATACCATGAATCTTTTATTTTTGCACCGGTTGAGAAGAGTGGTGAATTCATATGAACATCATCTTGTGTACTTTTTGCAGTTTTAAGCCATGACGATATCTCATTGATTGTCCATGTGTAAATAATCGTGTGCTTATCCGTAAAGGAATAACCTCCTTCTTTTATATTTATCAAACCTATGTTTGCGTCCTTTGACATTATTATTTTTGAAGCGAAATGTCACTTTAAACAATTATATATTTAGCTAGTATAAAGAAATAATAAAATTACACTACTGATCACTGAGATTACTTTGCAATAATTATTTTTTTACACTTTTCACTTGTGTTTACTATTTTAGTGAGATTGAACGCATCAGAAATATATTCCTTGATAGCCACACTTACTTACTATACAAATACTTGTGCTATAGAAAGTTTATATTAGTCAACATCAAGTTCACTCCAAGACTTGTACAGTAAAACTTGTGTACAACATGTGTTGAAAATGCATAGTTACTTAACGTAAATCTACGACCGCAATTTGAATCTAAGTTTTAACCAACTTTTAATCTATAAATAGTAGGGTGGCGCAAAAAGACCGACTATTTTTTTTTTTTAGTCTCGAGTGAAAAAATGTTAGTTTTTCATGTTTTAAGAGCCCTCTCCAAAGGACAGCTCAAAAAAAAATTTTTAAGAGGTCACTCCAAATTTTTCAAAATTTCAAAAATCGTCAAAAATCGAATTTTTTTTTTTTTTAATTTTTTTTCTCGTTACGGTATAATCTAATAGACTAAAAAAAAATAAGTTTCTGAAAATTTCAGTTCAAAATTCGAATTTTGAAAGGTCGCTCATAATTTTTTTCAATTTATTAGTGCATCAGTTTAGATTTTTTCTAGCGACCTTTTACTATTCAAATTAAAATACCATGCATTTTTTTTTTTTTATTTAGTACAATAACCGATAAGAATACATCACGAGATGAACACNAATAAATAGTATATTACATACCGAGGGAAGTAAAGTAAGAAATGTCTCAGATCACATGTTTGTTAACCTCGGCTTCGCCTCGGCCAACAATTACATGTGATCTGAGGCTTTTTTATTTACTTCCCGAGGAGTGTATGCTATTTTTTGGCTCGACGAAGGCAGAAAGTGGCAATTTCGTTTAGCGCAGCGGGCCGAAATTTGACGCTTTCTGCCCGTCGAGCAAAAAAAGTTATTGTTTAGTTGGAACGATTTTTTAATAAAAAATTACGATAACTTTGACTGTAAAATTTATATAAAAATTAATATTGCTTCAAGTTGTATTTATTTGGACCAAGTTGATTATAAGACACGTAGAAAACTATAGTTTAAAAACTATAGGTATATATGCATGATTTAAAAAATTTTTTTGCAAGTTAATTGTCAATCACTACTTATAAAAAGTTAATGAAAAATAATAGCACGATATGTGGATACGTTAAAAAAAGTTAATGTAGAAAAATCACACTGAAAGTAACGTTGTCGTTATCGTTTTACGTCACTTCTGTGACTATTTTATTCGGTTGTTGATCAGTTAACTGAAATAGTAGCGGGATTTTTGAAAGAAATGAAAGCGAATGAAGCGAGTATGTTATGTCTAATTTCATAAAAAGTCAAATATTTTGCAACCACGCACACCAAGTACCTACGTTCCAGAATTGTTTCTTTTAATTTTTAAATTTCCCTAGTGGATTCATGATCTTGGTGAAATGGCGCTTCAATGACGGTGAATTCATCGTCATTTAACGTCACAGGCAAAAACTAGTCTATTGACCGTTGAACTGCCGTTTTTTCACGGTGAAAACCAGATGAGATTGAGCGTGTTCAGCCGAACTAAGTTCTGAGTAAACTTAGTTAGCCTAAGTATAGTCAAAGCATTCCCTGCTATACATATATATATCTACTATACTATACATATCTTACTGTTTACTCAGGACTTAGTTCGGTTGAACACGCTCATTGTGAAATCATTTCGCGGCAAATGTATGATTAATAGAAGGTATTTCGATAGCTGAATTAAGGAGAACACGGCGAATGTAATCAGAGATTTGCAAATATTTATTTCGTACATGTGTGGCATTACACCTTTCAAATGATTCGCTTGTTGCGGTATTTTCTTGGACTTTCTACCAATGGGTAACTGGAATTTCATGAAGAACCAACCGTCATTTGATGGCAATAAAATCGTTATTAAACGAGGGAACGCTAATCTCTTCCGAGTATGTGATTGGTGAATGCCGAGTGATCTACGGGTGAATTTCTGGTCAATTGCTGGTGAAGTGTCGGTAGAGTAGAAGTGTCAGTAAGGTTAAAATTTTTATTATTTTTTTAAATTGAAAAATTTTTTGAAAAGTTTTTTGAAAATTTAATTTTTCATAAAAAATGTCTATTATGATTTCTTTACAAAATCAACATCTCTTACCGTAATTCCAAAATTAAGATGAATAATTAATGATTCAAATTTGTTATACTAAACAAGTTATGTAGTCGAGTCGAGAAGAGAGTTTACTGCGAAAAATCGCCGGTCCAATCTTAACAATATGGCGATTGATGCATTGGATTCAGAATTTAATTCTGCGAAATGGGTAATTTTTAATTTTTCCGCCATTAAAAATTTCATTTGTTATAAACAAAAAACGAAGTGACAAAAAGGGAGTCTCCGTTTTTTAGCTATAACTTCAAAAATATTAAAGATATCTGAAATTTGAAAAAAGATCCTAAAAGAGGAGAAAATTTTAGTAAAGGAAGTCTCGACTCCCGGAGTTGTAGCTCCATTATTTATAATTTTAATCAAACGTCGAAAGTTAGGCTCCGCGCGGCCGTTTCGGTGCCTAGGCATCCCCGCCAAGCAAAGTATGCAACACCAAATAATTTTTTTATAACATTCAATATTAATTTAAAAATCTGAACAAATTATAATGTCATCTAGACCCTTGAAGGAATATAGCCCCGCCAAAAAAAAATTTTTAGCTTGATTTTTGTTTAAGTTATTCAATTGTTAACTAACTAATTTTTCATAGACTTGAGTTCTTATAAAATCTCTTAAAAATGTTTAAAAAATGTGTCTATAAATTTTTTTCTTTTGGGATCTCTTGTTATATAAATAATGAACAAGACCGCGTAGTAAAAGTTTATAAAAGTTTTTTCATTTGTTTATAATGATTTTTCAAAGTTGTCAAAAATTGAAATATCCGGCTAATGTTATAAAAAAAAATTTTTTTCGTAAATTTTTAATTTTAGTTGTTTTTGTATTGATATATTGCGTCTAGTAGCTTGGCTAAAAAAATTTTAACATTAATTGTTTAAAAATTTGTTATAAACAAGTAGATAAATTGAATATTTTTGAAAAATTTTTTTTTGCCATTTTATTGTCTTAATAAAATAATAATTTTTAACCCTTATCGGCCACACCTCACCCAGGCCACATAACGGCTACATGGGGTAACTCATTACCCCACGCTGAAAAACCCGGTTGGAGAAGGTATGTACATGTTTTAAGACTTTTAATTAATTGTGCCATGTTCGTTGACGAATTCTTCAATATTTCTAATGGTTTAAAACTTGGTTATTTAATAGATGGCGTTCTAACAACTGGTCACACAAGTCACAATTTTGGAAAAATGGTTTTTTTTGCAAAAAAATTCACTTCTCAGATTCACGGCATATGCCGTTTATTGTATTTATTTAAAAGTTTTAAGACCTTTAATTCCACTTTTTTAAGCCTGGGGTAACTAGTCACCCCGTGTGGCCGGTAAGGGTTAAAAAAAAATTTTTTTCGTAAAAAAATTTTTTAATTGTTTATAATTGTTTTTTTCCGTTATCCACCATTTAAATTATTTATTAAGAAATCTTTTTTTTTTTTAAATCATCATTTACAATTCTCAATATAATTATGAAAAAAATTCTTTTTTTATTTAAATTTTCATTGTTTATTTTATAAACAATTTGTTATAAACAAATTTTATTAGCAAAAATTACAAATACAGCCATGTGCATAAAAGTTGTAAAAAAATTTTTTCTCTATTTTTTATTAAATTTTAAAATAATTTACCCTCTCATAGTTGAAGCGGTCAACTATTTCATCAACTTATAAATTGTTATAACTTCCGAAATATTGATAATACTGTCTTGGACATTCAAGAGGATCTTTTAAACAATTTATTGATTTCTATTAAAAATTTTTCACGTGCTCGATATCTATTATGGTTCAATTTTTATAAACATTTATTTATAAAAAAATGCATTACTTCAATTTTTAAATAATCATATCTTTTAAACTATTGAAGTTACGGCTTTTATAATTGAGCTTTTATGAATTTTTTCGTTATCTATCTCGATCACACGTGTAGTTGCAATTAAAGTTTTGACGCAGTTCAATTTGCTGTGGTTAAAATTTTCCGCATTAACATCAACCATTTTTGCCATACTTTCTAAACCTTTTTCAAAAGCTCGATGGCAATTTATCGATTTATCACCAACTAGTCCAGTAAATAAGGATATGAGCTTTTCCGGTCGATGTTCAAAAATACCGTGATCATCTAGCCAGTATTTAAATATTTCAATATCTTGTTTATCTTGTTTTTGCCGAGTAGATGTTAATTCAACGTGTTGGTCAGATGACGCGCTTCTGCAATTAGCTATTTGCTCTAATTGATCCAAAATATCAAACGCATAAGGCATACCTAATATAAAGCGAGAAACGACACTTTCACTCATCGTTCGACCATGTTTGGTTCCTTTTTTTCCGGTTCCGAAGAATCGCATTGCTGTCTGTTCTATTGTCATGTCAGACCATATACCAGACCATGGTTTATTAGTCTTTCTGATTGTGAACAAGCGTTTCTCGGTGAAACTTAGATATTCATCAGGATCCATAATGTTACCTAACTTTTGCATATCCTGCAAATAAATTTGTGCACCTTTCATGTAATTGAAGTGACCTGCAGCGTGAAATATTGGCAACATTTCACGAACGCACAACAAATGTAGGCTCCAATTTCCGTTCCTTTCAGCTTCAATAAACTGTACAGCAAGCATAACCATATCAAAATACTGCAGCCAAAGTTCAGCCGTTGGACCTCATGATTTAAGTGTTTCCAAAGCACTTGAAAACAAGTTGAACATTGCCTTACAGTCATCGTTCTCGTTAATAGATTCCAAAGATGGAGGATTATCTTTAAAATTTTGTAACAA